ATAAGTGTGTTGAATAAATAAATGAATGGATTCTAAAGCTTTGATTTTTAGGACAGCTTTTGTGAATTGCTTCTGGATTAAAAAAAATATATATACAAACATACATATACAGTATATATTTTTATCCAATAATATTGAAAAATTGTTTTAATTCTCTTTTCTAATCTCTAGAGTAGCATTAGAAAAAAATCTTTTAAAGATTCCTGAAGGAAAATCACATTTGCGTGGGAAAGGGTTAGACTCCAAGTGACAGATGTCTGTGTGTTCGTGGTTGAAAAGAACATTAAAACGTAACTGGGAGTAAAATCACTTTCAGTGTTCATCTAAGGATTTCAGGGCTTTCTTTCAGGTTCAGCAAGTCAGCTCTTGAGGACCTACTTTCCTGAAGGAATGAGTGAAACTTTAATAAGAAATATTCTCTTTGGAGCAGTGAGAGGGTTGAACTATCTGCATCAAAATGGCTGTATTCATAGGTATTTACTTATTTGTATTTTACAAAATGAAAGAATTTTAATGGAAGAAGTCTGCTAGGGAGCTGTTAGGAAGGAGCAATTCAGTGTTAGGAAGGAGGGATAGGAAACTTATAAATGAAAATTGAGGGAGAAGGAGCTAATAGATGCAGTGGATGCTTACATCTTATGACCGTTTACCAAACCTGTTCAGACCACATGCTCTGTGCCAGGCACTGTGCTTGGTGCTGGTGTGGAGTGCCTGCCCTCAGGGAGCTCACAGTCTCAATCTGATGAGGGACATGAGAACCTATATGTTTGGGGGATAAACTGTAAGGAATGGGATCCTAGTTGATTGGGGTTTTTTTTTTGGTTTTTGAGGGTTTTTTTCAAAGCAAATAAAGAGCTTCTTTATCTGCTTTTTAGCTTATATCACATTTACATCATGTACAACTTATAATTAAACGTTTCTTTGATTTCTTAAATATTTTGCAACACCTTGAGATGATCATACTAAATATCAGTTCTCTTGTTATCAAACAGTAGATGCAAAAGTAATTGACTGAATGCCAAAAACAGTGCCGTTCTGAGATATACTGGGACTTTGTTTTGCTTTTTAATTAAGTTACTTTTAAATAAGTTTGCTTTCTTATTGTTTGTTTCAAACCCCTTAAAGCGTTTTGTACTATTTGTTGTTTTTTTAGTAGCATTCTTGTTAACTAAGGATTCTAACACACTGTATTCTAATTAATTGAGGTTTTATTACACCTATCAGACTATTGGCCATCCTACTCTGTTAGTTTCCAAATTCAGTGTTTTAGATGAAAAAACAATGCACTTTTATAATTTATCTGACAAAGGAAATTATTTATATGTTATGTTTATAAATGATGTTAAACTGTGAGAGGCTTTTATTTTATTTATTCTATTTTTGATTTTATTTTAGTTTTGAGACAGGGTCTTGCTCTGTCATCCACGCTGGAGTGCAGTGGCATGATCATAGCTCACTGTAACCTTGAACTGCTGGGCTCAAGCAATCTTCCTGCCCAGCCTACTGAATAGCTGGGACTACAGGTGTGCACCATCATGCCTGGCTAATTTTTCTGTTTTTTATAGAGACAGGTCTTGCTGTGTTCCCCAGGCTGGTCTTGAACTCCTGGCCTCAAGTGATCCTCTTGTCTCAGCTTCCCAAAGCTCTGGGATTACAAACATAAGCCACTGTGCCTGGCCTACACTTAACTTTAAATTATAACCTTATGCTTCAAATGTTGTTTAATTGATCCTTTTAGATTTTCCTTAGGTGTTTTGTAATAGCATCGTAAAATAGAGAAATTAATAATTTGATTCCATTCCTTGTTTGAAAAAAATATTGTCAATTCCAAATATGTAGCTATCATTTATATCTTTCCTTATTCTAGTGGTGTATTAAGTAGCTGAAAGATGGGAGGCCGAGGCGGGCGGATTGTTTGAGCTCAGGAGTTCGAGACCAGCCTGAGCAAGAGCGAGACCCCGTCTCTACTAAAAATAGAAAGAAATTAATCAGACAACTAAAACTATATAGAAAAAAAAATTAGCTGGGCATGGTGGGGCATGCCTGTAGTCCCAGCTACTCAGGAGGCTGAGGCAGAAGGATTGCTTGAGCCCAGGAGTTTGAGGTTGCTGTGAGCTAGGCTGACGCCACGGCACTCTAGCTCGGGTAACACAGTGAGACTCTGTCTCAAAAAAAAAAAAAGTAGCTGAAAGAATTCCTAATTCCCTGAACATTTCCTGTATATATAGTAGTATATATCATATACTGCTCTTTTATAAGGGGTATTCAATTTTCAAGAGAATACTTGGATTTGTTCTGACCAGATTTTTACTATTTCTTCATCGGCCAGTTTCCTAGTACTTAGGATTGTTTCTTTTTATTCTAGGAATTTTAAAGCCAGCCATATCCTCATTTCTGGTGATGGCCTGGTGACCCTCTCTGGCCTTTCCCATCTGCATAGTTTGATTAAGCACGGACAGAGGCATAGGGCTGTGTATGATTTCCCACAGTTCAGCACATCAGTGCAGCCGTGGCTGAGTCCAGAACTCCTGAGACAGGTCAGGTGTGACCGTTTCATTGGGTTGTCTGCGTCTCGAGTGTCTTCTGAGTTTGACTAAAAGACATTTGTATCCTTATATTTGGATTGGTGAATGGCCTACTGCAAGACTTTTTTTCCCTCATTCTTGTCAAAGTTATGTTAGGAATTTAAAATTATATACTATGTATCAGGTATACCTTAATTTCTTGCTTATAGGGTTTTTTCCCCATTATTGTTCACCATCCTTTATCAAAAGAGCACATGTATGTAACTTTTTGTTAAGTTATTTGCACTCAAGGACTTCAAATTAATTGTGTTCTACAGGATTTACATGGGTATAATGTGAAGTCAGATATTTACAGTGTTGGAATTACAGCATGTGAATTAGCCAGTGGGAAGGTACCTTTCCAGAACATGCACAGTACTCAGGTAAGTGCCACTAAAATCCCCGAACTACTTGCCTTTCATAAGATCTCTTATGTTCTGTATAATTTCTGTTAAAACATGTTTGCTGTAGACTCTTAGGAGCTTTATTGTTATTACTGTTATTTTAGTATTTTTCCTAAAAAGGGTTGAGGGAAATTTTTCTTTCTTTTAGATGCTGTTACAGAAACTGAAAGGTCCTCCTTGTAGCCCATTGGATATCAGTATTTTCCCTCAGTCAGAATCCAGAATGAAAAGTTCCCAATCAGGTGTAGACTCTGGGATTGGGGAGAGTGTACTTGTCTCCAGTGGAACTCAGCCAGTAAATAGTGACCGATTACATACGCCATCCTCAAAAACCTTCTCTCCTGCCTTCTTTAGCTTGGTACAGCTCTGTTTGCAACAAGATCCTGAGAAAAGGTATGGTATTTGTGATACTGCCCTTCCCATAAAATTCAAGTGTTTTATCAATATTTTCATCAAAAATTACAGTCTAATCTAGAAAATATCAATGCTAAGAACAAGTAGAGGCAATAAGCTAATGGGAAGAATCCTGGATTCAAAGTCAGAAGAGAGAGGCTCCAGCCTCAGCTGTACCATTTCCTAGCCAAGTCACCTTGTAAAAATCAGTTACTCTTTTTGGACATTAATAACTGCCTTTATGTGAAGACATTTTGGAAACTTCCAAGTAGTATAAAAATGTAAGTTGCTGCTATTATACTAATATAAATTATTTTCGTGGGTAACAATATTTTACCATTAGTATTTTGGAAACAAGATGTGTATGTTTTATTTATTTTTTTAGCCCCTAGTGCCTAGCATAGTTCCTTATAAATAGAATGTGTCCAATAAATGTTAAGTTGGATTATCTGAAAGATACCTCTAGAATTAATTCTTCCTATTAGTCAAGGTGGGGGCTAAGAATTGGGCTTCTGACATATATTCTTCTTCTTTTTAATTTTTTAATATTGGGATTTATAGCTCTAAACCTAATTTCTAATATATTTATATACCTAAAGTCTACATTCTAATATGAGATTCTTTTGTATAACTTTTTAAAAAAATTTCAGGCCATCAGCAAGCAGTTTATTGTCTCATGTTTTCTTCAAACAGGTGAGCAGATCTATCATCTATTGTCTAGATATTTTTAAGTACCATTAAAAAGTCACTTCATTTTGTTGGCTTGATGGGATACTTTGGTTACCAAGATTCTTACTAATAACTTTCTTACAAAATAAAGTGAAAAACAAAAAAAACTTTTCTAGTAGTCTAATTATAAACTTTCTAAAACATTTTCATTCTGTAAAACAAAATGAGTAAAAACAAATTTGACTGTTGTCATATGTTACTATATATGCTCAGTGTATGTTGATTCATTTAGAGACATTTTCTATATTGGCTAGAAATGATGAAAGGGCAAACTAATTCTGATAAAAATCAGTTCATTTGGCTCTTCCTGTTTTCAGATGACCATAATGAAAGGCATTTTTAGGGAAAATACCCCAAAACAATTTTAAACACTTTTAACATGATTTCTTTAAAAATTATTTATCGCTAACAAAAGTGATGCATTGAATTTATGTACCAACAGCCTTATTTTGAGTTTCTTTAACAGATGAAAGAAGAAAGCCAGGATTCAATACTTTCACTGTTGCCTCCTGCTTATAACAAGCCATCAGTATCACTGCCTCCGGTGTTACCTTGGACTGAACCAGAATGCGATTTTCCTGATGGAAAAGGCTCAATCTGGGAATTCTAGGGCTGCCAAATCTTTTTATGTCCTATATACTTGACACTTTCTCCTTGCTGCTTTTTCTTCTGTATTGTTAGGTACAAATACCAGAATTATACTTGAAAATACAGTTGGTGCACTGGAGAATTATTTAAAACCACTCTGTTTAAAGGGGCATGAGTTTATAGCCCCTCCGTTGGGCTCAGAGTGCTATCAGAACTCCAGGGAAACGTTAGATTTATTGATCTAGCCACAGTTAGTGTCATCTGTTCTTGACTTTTTTTTTCCCCCCAAGATGTGACTAACTCCTCTCTTGATCTCTCAATATAATTTTTGAGCCAGTTAATATTTTTGGCATTTTGCTGTCCTCTTGGGATGAGCCATCAGAGGACTGTACTTCCAAATACATCTTTTTCTTCCAGATTCTCTAGCCTTTTTGATCAGCTATTATTAAACCAGTGGGCTAGTTTATCCTGGCAGAAGACCCTTTTTTGGTAGAAGGGAAAAGGTTTATTTATACTTTCCCTTTTTCTTCTGTTAATACTTACGGTAACAGCAAACCAAGCCTCATTAAATGATTCACTTGAAATATAGAGAAGTTGTAATTTGCTTTTTTTTTTTTTAAAAAAGAGGGGGCTAAAGTAACACTTTTCTACCTATGTATATTATAGATCCTAAATTCATGCACCCTGTGGGAGCTCAATAAAGATTTATTGAATTGAGTTTATGCTTTTATTTTGTGTTTCTTGACAAAGCTAAAATACAGATTCTAATTTGTTCTGCCAAGAAAAGTCCTTTCTCAAACAGATTTATTTACATAACCTAGTGAATTGGACACAGCCAGGTATTTGAGTCAATGAAGGCAGAAGGCCTTCTGGCCCTTGATATGGTTATTACTTCTGCAGGGGGGATAACATATGAGGACATAGAGGTCTTAATTAACGGTATTTCCTTACTAGCAAAAGAGAGATGCTGTGTCTCAAAAAGAGTATGTAGTTTTGAGCTATGGTAAATTGGGACCTCAGTTGATTTTCTTAATCTATACAATCTTATTTATAATACATTAAAAATTATCTTAAAATTATTATTTTGACTAAAAAATTAAAACCAAAAAGACAATACACAAATTAATAGGCAATTTTAAACAATTCTTTTTATTTTTATTGGCTAGACCCCCTCAAGAATGAATGTTTGGGTTACTCCAGCAGTTAAGGCACCAAGACCCACCAAGGTGAAAGCCGAAGGTGGAAGAATTTAGAACAGACAGTGGAGGAGGGAGAGGACGAGGCCCAGTTGAGGCCCTGAGAGCAGGTGCAGTGGTGGGGGCTGTGTTCATACCACTCACCTCCCCCTTCTGAATTTCCCCTCAGCGAGAGAGGCCCACAGGGATCTTAGAGGTTCTCCTGAATATGTGTAGTGCAAAAGGGGGGCCGCGGAGGCCAGGAAATGGTGCTTCTCAGATTTCCTACTGTGGCTGTATTAAGGTACTCCAGAGAAACAACCAATAGAATGTATGTGCATGTGCATATATTAAGATAACATAAACAGATTTATTATAAGGAATTGGCTCATGCAATTGTGGAGGCTGGCAAGTCTGAAGATCTGCCAGGTGAGTCAGTAAGCGGGAGACCCAGGAGAGCTGAAAGTATAGTTGTAGTCCACGGGCTATCAGGCTCAAGATCCAGAAAAAGTCCGTTTCACTTTGAGTCAAAAGGCAAGGAAAAGCCAGTGTCCCAGTGCAAAGGTAGGCAGGAGGAATTCTCTCTTACTTGGGGGAGGTTTAGCATTTTTTGTTCTTTTCATATCTTCAACTCATGGGATGAGGCCCACCCACATTCGGGAGGGCAATCTGCTTTACTCAGCCTACTGATTTACATGTTAGTTTCATCCAGAAACACCCTCACAGAAACACTCAGAGTAATGTTTGACCAAGTATCTGGGTACCCTGTGGGCCAGTACAGTTGACATAAAATTAACCACCATGGTGGGTATTGTAACTGACCGATAGCCTCACCCTTTGAGTGCTTTCTTAAATTTTGTACCTTAGGCACCCTGCTTGCCGTACTAGTTTTCTATGGCTGCTGTAACAAATTGCCACAAACTTAGTGGCTTAACATAAATTTATTATTTTGCATTTCTAGTTTAGACATTCAAAATGGGTCTCACTGGGCTAAAATCGAAGTGTTGGCAGGGGTGTTTTCCTTTTGGAGGCTCTAGAGGGGAATCCGTTTCCCTGGCCTTCCTAGCTGTTCGGGGCTATTCACGCTCCTTGGCTTGTGACCCTCTTTGTCCACCTTCAAAGTCAACAATGTTGGACTGAGTCCTCACACTGCCATTTCTCTGGTTCTCTCTTCCAATTTCCTCTTCTACTTTTCATAGAGCCTTGTGATTACATCAGGCACAGCCAGATAACCCAGGGTAATCTCCCCATCTGTAGTCAGTTGACAGCAACCTTAATTCCCCTTAGCCACGGAACCTAACATTTTCACATGTTCTGGGCCATAGGATGTAGGCATCTTCAGGAGAAGTGGGGACGTTATTCTGCCTACCATACCTATCTCACCCTTGTCCTAGTCCCTACCCTTTGCAGCAGGGATAGCAAGTCAGGCCCATTTCTGGGAGACGATGGCCTTTTGTGATTAATGGCTTTGGATAGAGCACTCCCCATCAGCCCTGCTGTAATTTACTTAGAATGGCATGCCAGTCTAAGACATCTCCTATTCCACCTTCTTTTCTTCCTCTCCTTTTCCACAGTGGTCAGCCCTACATCATGGTTGACAGCTCTCCAAGCCATCTCCAATGCCCTTCCCATTTTCCCTCACAGGATTTTCTCCTCCCAAAAATCTTTTGCATGTAGTATTAATTTCCTATCACTGCTGAAACAAATTACCACAGATTTAGTGGCTTAAAACAACATAAATCTATTATCTTGTAGTTCTGTAGGTCAGAAGTTTAAAATGGGTTGGCAGGGCTACATTCCTTCTGGAGAATGTAGGGGAGAGTCTGATTTCCAGATTTTAGAGGCTTCCTGCCTCCCTGCGCCTCTTGGTACAGCATTACTCCAACTTCTGCTTTTCTGTCTCCTTCTGCTCATGTCTCCTTCTCTGACTCTGACCCTTGTGATTATATTATGCCCATCCAGATAACCCAGGATAATCTCCTTACCTCAAGATCCTTAATTAACAGTTGCAAAAGACTCTTTCATCACATAAGGTAACATTCACAGGTTCCTGGGATTAGGATGTGGACACATTTAGGGACCATTCTAACTACCACGTGTCTAATTTCATTTTGGTGTCTACTTTTTGAAGGACTCAAACTTGCACAGTCACTTTAGCTAAAAATGCCCTCCTGTGAGCTTCTGTAGTACTCCCTAAATAGCAATTCTAATTACTTCTGTGTTATAGATTGTGTACCTTTTGACAATATTGTTTTATTCACTAAGTATATTCCTAATGTTTAGCAAAAGTGTCTAGCATATTGTAGATGTATAATAAATAAGTAATTCTTCTCTGAAGTATATGAGTTAAAAAAGACTTTTGGAAAGAAAACTTGAGAGATTTCCATGATAGGAAATTTTTAATTCTTTGCTTGTCACAGTATTGCCATTAAAAATTTAATGAGG